ATGATGATGATGATGATGATATAATGATGATGATATAATGATGATGATGAATATTATGATGTGATCAATGATTGATATTGATGTGAATGATGAATGTTTTATGACAATGATGATGGTGATGATAAAGATGACTGATGGCGATGGTTTTATGAATAGATATATATATATATAGATGCTAATGATGAAGATGAAGAATAGATGAAGATGATGTTTATTGTGATATTGGAAATGTATGATGGTGTTGATTGCTTTAATGCTGATGATTTATTTAGAAAAATAAAACAATTACAAAAAATAAATAAATAAACATTTGATAAGAGTTGTAATCAAACAAACGTCTACGCAGCCTGGCTGTCTGTTCATAAAGTAATAATGGCATTGTAATAAAAATCCTTTTTATGACTTACATAGAAATTAATCAGATTCAAGTTCCACTGGAATATGACAGGAAGATATGTATTTTTGCGTTATTATAGGTTAGTGCTTATTCGCGGGGAGTGAAGATCAATCATTCGAATTCATTATGTATACAAGGCAAAGTATTGCAAGGCAATCCATAGTCCCCCGCCGGTAATGATTTCTTTATCTAACGAGCTGTGCACCCATCTCATGTTATAGATCACAGGGACCCGTCACTCCGCCACCCAGGGTATGCTCTGGACAAAGTTGTCCAAATGTTGAGGTCAAATGTCAAACAATAGGTCACAGTGACCTACTTTTTGTAATTCACACTCCGCAAATGTCGCTACTACAGGAGAAAAAATATAGGAGATTTGTCGCGGACAACCCCTTGGGACGGAACAAAGTCGGACGGGGGGAGTAAAACCCTATACCCCCCCCCCCCCCCCCCCCCCCCCCCTGGGGGACTACCTATGCATAATAGTCGTTGTTCCTTTGGCCTTGCGAACACACTATAAAAAAACAGCCATTGATATATGTATACGTAAAAATCATGGGTTTTACAGAATAAAACAATCACAAAATAGAATACTTAAGATACAACCACAATTCAGTGGGATGTCATAGATATTAATGTGTGGGATGCCATAGATATTAATGTGTGGGATGCCATAGATATTAATGTGTGTTCCCATTGCTGACAGTAGGACACGTGACACAAAACAGGAATGATTGACTGAAAAACGTCGACGACCTTCTTTCCCCTCAGCTGTTAAATTAAAATTAATAAGAGTAAACAATATAAAAATGGCATGTTATATGATGATGCGCTCTCCTAAACATTACAAAATATAATAGGAAGGGGTAATGCGATTGATATGTGCCTCTTCTAAGGGTCGAACCAGCGACCACAGGCTTCCTAGTACGACGTTGACTAAAGGAAATTTCCCTTTAGATGAGACAACTTTGTCACTATGTACAATTCACATCTTTACACATAGAAATGCTTGCACTTATAATATAATTATTTACATATACCATCGTATGATATTGCCACTATATAACCCTGCCGTATTCATACTGCATTCACATAGGCTATGCTTGCCATGAGCCGATGATTGTTGACGTCCTCAACTAGTATGACGTCATAAGTGTTACGTCAGATAGTACTGTCCCTCCCTGGACAGACGGCTGTTGTATTCATTGAACAATCATATACATATGATAAATGCAATAAATGCTGAATAAAAATGAGTGTAATTGAATTTTCCATGCAACAATAATGAACATAAGTATTGAACTGCTTTTAGTTGGCTTTCGTAAACTGGTGCGCTTTATTGCCTATGTGACATTCATATTAGTTTGGGTTGATTGTGTTTTACGTCCTATTAACAGCTATGGTCATTTAAGGACGTGCCAGGTTTTGGTGGTGGAGGAAAGCTGGAGTTCCCGGAGAAAAAAACACCGATCTACGGCCAGTACCTGGCGACTGCCCCACGTAGGCCTCGAACCCGCGATTCAGGGTGGAGGGCTAGTGGTAGCAGAATATCAGACGCCTTAACCACTTGGTCACCGCGACCCCATATTCATATTGCCTATGAATGCCAACAAAAAGCAGTTCAATTCTTCAACATAAGTGATGTCTCTTACAGGTTTCAGTAGTACTGTAATGGAGACTAATGGCTATTCAGGCACTATTACAGTAATGTAGCTAGTATTTGGCACTGGTAGAATTGGTTGATAATATAAAATTAAAAGTGAAGCAAAAAGCTCAATACTTTAGTATCATACATCAACATTATGTGTTATAGCGAATGGTACATAAAGATGAATAAGTCGAAATGGAGTTTGTAATATCAAAATTAAGTTAAAGTTCAGATGAAAGGTAACAGATATGAATCTGATCGAAAAGTCCTTGGCTTCATTAACATGATGTACAGGTATTAATTGCATATTTTATTTGAATAATTGCATCGAAGAGAAACATGACATACTGTTCTTGGCATGAAAATGTTGGCAAAGTAATTTACGAGCTATAGTTCAGACATGTTGACCACTTCTGTCATGAATTATTAGCCATTATTCCGAGAAATACTGATGACGTAATGAGCGATATGACTATATAAAAGAAGAGAAACACCCTGTCCAGAACACGTGCCAATTGGTGCCACTCATCTTCTACGTCATTAACCACGTGACTTTTGTTCAAACTGTTTTCGACACGCTCTAGAATGGTCGATTGAGTACGCATGAGTCTTGCTAAAGGTTCCTTTGTTCGGAGAAGCATATCCGTCGTGGAATTATTTGTCACAACGTTCTGGGTTGGCTCTGCCGTTTTTTCTGGGTGCACGATGTTATTGGCACGTCCATTTACATGCTGAAAATATAATAGAAAAAAGATGTACAATCTAACTCAGATCTCCACATGAACGCCAGTACCTGAGGAGACGATATTAAACAGAAGGAGAGATATTACCAGAACATCAATCCAAAGTTCAAATTATCCGCAAACATTTTTGAGTGAATGCAAATTCATTTGAGATGAAACACGGTACCTGATTGGTCAATAGAAATAATATGCGACTGTGCAATCACGATATACCGTTCGTCAAATTCTCATTTGGACCCTAGCATCACCGATGAGACCTAGAAGGACGTCAATTTGCGAAATTAAGTTTGCGTAGGGAAATATATCCACATGAACTACACGAAATAAAAATATTATACATTAGCTTCAGGAAATACACTCATCTATAAATGAAGTACTCGAGAAAGATTAATCTACAGACCACATGAATGAGAGACAATACATCTTTGTCAACTATGACACAAAATAAATCTATATTCCTTACGTAACAAAACATAGTTACTACATGAATATTATAGAAATGCCTTGACTACACAGCATACTAGTATATCTACAAAAGGATCAACTAAGTTACAGTCAGCGCAACTAGTCTATGTCACATGAATACATTTGTAATCTGCTTCGAGTACAACTAAAAAACCTACCAATTCTAACGGAGCTTCCCTGCTTTTATCTCTGTCCAGGAGATATTTTCCTGACTGAGAACAAACAAGCTTGCCTAGCTTCACTATGAAGATACGTTTCGCCCAGGATGGAATTTTCCTGCCGGAACAGCCCCGTGAGTGGAACATCAGGACGATAACAGTCATTGTACACGATAACGAGACGAGGACCATAGAAACGGCAAAATACATTCCTGAAATAAAGGGCGATCACTCTTATTACTCAAAATACACCCCTGAAATAAAGGGCAATGACTATACTTATTATTGCTCAAAATGCATTCCTGAAATAAAGGGCGATCACTCCTATTACTCAAAATACACCCCTGAAATAAAGGGCGATCACTCTATACTTATTATTACTCAAAATGCATTCCTGAAATAAAGGGCGTTAACTCTATACTTATTTTTACTCAAAATGCATTCCTGAATTAAAGGGTAATAACTCTTATAACTCAAAATACATCCCTGAAATAAAGGGCGATAACTCTTATTACTCAAAATACATCCCTGAAATAAAGGGCAATAACTCTATACTTGTTATTACTCAAAAGACATTCATGAAATAAAGAGCGAAACATCTACACTTAATATTACTGAAATGAAGGGGAAGAAATAGTTTAAAACTGGCTACACAAAATACGTCTTCAATTTAAACAAAAAAGATAGTTGTTTGCCAATTAAAGTTTATTTAATTCTACAGTGAGCTTTTATGAAGCAAGAATTACAGACGAAATCATCATATATATTTTCCCGCCCGTTACAAACATTGTTTGGTTTTTAGGGAACCTCAAAGTCAATTACATAACCTAATCACGTTATACACTGACGGAATAATGATAAATTCGAATTAAATTTCACTATTGATTTTTTGTCGCTAAGAATGAAGAATTATACCGACTCTGCATATAAATAGAGTTAATATGATATTGGTTGTTGAACAATTTATTAAGTTTACGCGGATAGTTGAAACCATTAGGAACCAGTCTGTATGTACAAACGATATTGATATTTGTTTTGTTTGATAGATAAAATGATAATATCACATGATTACCAGTTACATGTGGTGGTTCATCCGATATATCGAGCAACGTTACAGGTTAGAGTTAAACATGGATCCCAGGTATCACATGGATAGATATTGGTACATTTTCTGCGAATAAAGCATAAAGTAACGCCTCCTAAAATAACTTCAAAAAGGTCACTTCGCGAATGAAGAGTGAGCAAAAAATCAATAATATACAGAATAATAACACTATAAACTCAATATAAACATGGACGAAACGTCAACTGTACCGATGTATGGGAAGGAGTCGGACGATGCCGGCATGGACTCGGACACCAGTAGAAGGAACACAGCCAGCGACAGGAGTACTGTGATCCCTAAAGAAACCTTCTCGCCGGACTCTGCCGGGAGGATGAAGCTTAGCATGGCCACGACACTGGTCAGAATACAGGGAAACAGCACAGTCATCACGTAAAACTGAGACTTCCGTCTCATGTTGATATAGAACGTGATGTCAGGATACGGTTCCTTACAGCAGGCGTAAAACAACACATTCTTCTCAACAGGCATACCAATGAGTTCCCACTCGTTATGTTGTACGTAGTATGACAAATCGCCTACAACAAAGAACATCGTGTTTATGAAACCTGTCAGAAATAGGTACATGTTTGAACGTCTAAATAATGAAATACGACGTATATATACGCAGGTACGAAAACACCAGTCAACCTTCTCACGTAAGGTGAGTACGTCTGCTTCGACACCGTCGGGAACCTTCGGCACTTTCCGTAAACGGTTCCCGATTGCGTACCTACCTTGCTTCATCGAGTTGACAACGTCTATCTCTTTTCCATGGTGAGACCACGACCCAAACTTGAGACTACATATCTGTGTGTCGAAGGGGAAGTACGTGACGTCTACCCGACAGATGCTTTTGAGTACGGTTGGGAAGTTGTAGTGGACGGTTCCGTCGTTATATATAGAGGCAATGTAGTCCTCCCTCCCCGGCATCATCACCTCGTCACTGGCGCTATAAGTACAGACAAGAATTCTCTAAAAGGATATGTCTACTTTATCCCATCATACACATAGCTTTGAAGTTACAAAGAGCGCAAAAATTATGACGATTACCGAAATCGTTCATCTATTTCACATTATCTTTTGTCATCTTTGTGATCAATGTTTGTTTCTTTCTGCCACTCAAACACCGAACATAGAGACATGATGTAACTGCTGTGTCATTTTTAAACACACTAATATCGTTACTTTTTAGAATCTTACAAGCTTCTGTTTAAAATGATGTGTTCACCCTCGTTTGTTGCTATACTGCGTATACAGAGATGGCATAAAGAGCAATAACGAGGATAATCTCGGAAAGTGTCATGAGCAAGGTGAACGAAGACAATACAAATTACTATCAAAGCAATTGTAATGATGGCTTGATATATTTAGTACACTACATCACAGCATTGCATTAAGAATATATACGTTTCTATAAAGACATGATTTATGATTATACCTGAAAATATGAATAAAAATAAAAGGAATTTACTTTTGCGGAAACAATTTTACTTTTGCAAAGACTCTATTAAAAATAATCTTAAATAACAACGTTTTTCAGTATGATATCAAGTTACGTACCTGTCGTATACTTTGATATTAATTTACGTACCTGTCGTATGCTGTGATATCAAGTAACGTACCTGTCGTATACTTTGATATCAAGTAACGTACCTGTCGTGTACCTGTCGTATACTTTGATATCAAGTGACGTACCTGTCGTGTACCTGTCGTATACTTTGATATCAAGTAACGTACCTGTCGTGTACCTGTCGTATACTTTGATATCAAGTGACGTACCTGTCGTGTTTCTGTCGTATACTTTGATATCAAGTAACGTACCTGTCGTGTACCTGTCGTATACTTTGATATCAAGTGACGTACCTGTCGTATGCTGTGATATCAAGTTACGTACCTGCCGTATATCGTGGTATAGAGTTACGTACATGTCATGTTCCTGTCGTATACTGTGATAGCAAGTTACGTTCCTGTCGTATTGTGATATAGAGCTACGTACCTGTCGTATAACGTGATATCAAGCTACGTACCTGTCGTGTACCGTGATATCAAGTTACGTACCTGTCGTATACCGTGATATCAAGCTACTTACCCGTCGTGTACCTGTCGTGTACCGTGATATAGAGTTACGTACCTGCCGTACACAGTGATATCAAGCCACGTACCTGTTGTATAACGTGCTATCAAGCTTTGTACCTGTCGAATACCGTGATATAGAGTGACGTTCCTGTCGCATAACGTTATATTGAGTTACGTACCTGTCGTATACCATGAAATCAAGTTACGTACATGTTGTATACCGTGATATAAAGTTACGTTCCTGTCGTATACCGTGATATCAAGCCACGTACCTGTCGTATAACGTTATATTGAGTTACGTACCTGTCGTATACCATGATATCAAGTTACGTACCTGTCGTATACCGTGATATAGAGTTACGTTCCTGTCGTATACCGTGATATATAATATAAGCCACGTCCCTGCCGTATACCGTGATATCAAGCCACGTACCTGTCGTATACCGTGATATAGAGTTACGCTCCTGTCGGATACCGTGATATATAAGCCACGTACCTGTCCTATAGCGTGATATAGAGTTACGTTCCTGTTGTATACCGTGATATATAATATAAGCCACGTCCCTGCCGTATACCGTGATATCAAGCCACGTACCTGTCGTATAGCGTGATATAGAGTTACGCTCCTGTCGTATACCGTGATATATAAGCCACGTACCTGTCGTATAGCGTGATATAGAGTTACGTACCTGCCGTATAACGTGATATCAAACCACGTACCTGCCGTATACCATGATATCAAGCCACGTACCTGTCGTATAGTGTGATATCAGGGATCCAAACGTCCTCGTAAGGTACAGAGAAATGGTCAATATCCTCGTAGTCCGAGACATTCCACCTCATACGACAATCTGTCCAACTCTTAGATAAAGAAGGGGAAACATTTAATCAACGTTGAAGCTGTTATATGCTATTACCGTAAAATGTCAAACTGACAATAAAAGGGAAACAACTCCCGCTTGTTCAGACAAATCTATTTAAATGTTGAAACCAGCAACACAGATGAAACACTATAACTATTATTACTTGAAAGGATCTATTTCAATATGATAGGGTGGATGTCATGAAGCAACATCAGATATTTTATTGAAATACTTTTATTTAAAACCCCACTTACCATACGTAGCCAGACGTTAATGGAGATGACTTGTTCTCTTTCATTCTGAAATTGGATTAAAATATGGCCGTGTAAATGGAAAATATGCCCACTTACNAGTCGTAGAATTGATTTTTTCGCTCTTAAGTGATTCTCAGTGTTATACAATGTACGCCATATTGTATATAATACACACACAATACATATTACCAGTCGAGACACAAACGCCATGAAGCATCGCATTGTATAAAATTAAACTAAGTACGCTTTTAAATTATACACAAAAAAATATACATATTAACTGCTAAAGTGATGCTGTTTGCTGTGTTTCGGTATAGTAGTTTTATTATGGTGTTAACTTTACTGGTTTCTGCTAAAGAGATGGTGTGATGGTTGTTGTGTTTTAGAATAGCAGTTCTATAATAGTGTAAACTTTACAGGTAACTGCTAAAGAGATGGTGTAATGGTTGTTGTGTTTAAGAATATTTTGTATATAATAGTGACTTACGTAGAAAAGTGTTTATTATAATGATGTTATATTTTGCAGTTACCCTTTTAAAAAAAGGCTGTCAGGATTGAAGACATAGCGCACAACATGAAGGGGAGATAACTATGAATTCAGCTCTGGTAACTGTTTTGACACAGTACGTGTTAGATTCTTTTCTGACTTATGAAAAGTTCTTTTTAAACATCCAATAAGAGTTTCCATGTGACGTGTCGATGACTATTTTGGTATGTACACTGTCATCTTCATCAGACAAATGCTCAGTGATATGTACGAGTTGTCTGCAAAATCGATGTCGATTCGGCTACGCTGTAAGCGTATGTAAAATAGTTGTTATATATGTACCGAAATGACTCGATTCAGCTACGCTTTGTTTAATACCTCGTCATAGATGTGCGAGAGTCTATGAGCCCCCTCACCTCGATTTAAAACTGGCCCACTGCGGCGTATCCAGATTGCTTCTTTTATCTGCCGCTTGAACAGATTGCTCTTTCTGTCCAATACTTTTGAGTTATTCCATTCAATCACATGCTTTTTCTGTGTGGCATGGTCTGTACTTGCCAATTTATTTATCCGGGACTCCAACTGCTTCCTTTCTGATCTGGTGAACTTTTCCGGTGTTCACCAAAGCGGACCCCAAATCGCCTTCCAGTCTCTCCAATACCGTACTAGTCATCGAAACGTCACATAGAAACTCTTATAGGTTGTGTACAAAGAACGTTTCATAATCCATACTTACCAATCTGAAAAAAATGTTTAGAAATATCTTATTCTGACTGTTTTTGTAATAAACAATTCACAGTAAATTGACATACGGACGGACTTAATGAATTTATACTACATTAAACACATACTAATATATCAAACCATGGTCGTTATAGTTTAAGTAATGAATACATGTTTTACAAGACAATCAGTATGGAAGACAAATAAATCATACTGTTCAGTCACTAGTGATATATTTTCTTAATTTAATATGCAGGGACGTAGCTAGCCCTTATTGCAGTGGGATCATTAAGAAGCGACTCCAGGGCAGGGCCTTGGTAAGGGGACCAAGGGGTAGCAACAAGCAGTGTTTTTGTTTTTTTAGAGTATTTTGTTCTTTATATTTTCAAATGTGCAAGCATTCGTCAACGCGATATATGGAAAATGTTCGCTAAAGTCACTCTTTCAAATTGAAAATCGTTCAAAACAATATTTTTTTATATTGAAAATAGGACAAAATGATAAATAATATGCTATTGAAACGTTGGTTACAAGTTCACATAATCACATACAAACCTACACCATTTAGATTGAAAACGTTAGTTCATTAATTATGACTGGTCATTGCATTACTTAACAAACGATTTTCATTAATTAATAATTTGTCGTATATCAAATAGCAGATATTTATAATCGATTAAATCATTTCAATTTACACATATTATCAGTATCATTATTTGTTTTCCATCAGCTAAAGTAACATCATGTTACTCCTAATAAAACAAAAGACATGACGGATATAAATAGATCACATATATGATAACATGGTTATAAATAAATCTTTGTGAAAACCTAGTGTTATAAATAGATTAAGATGAGAAATTATCTGGATTACTTCATCAATATTATTGTTGAAGTCAATATTGCGTTGATGCCTATTGTTTAAGGAATTTTGAAAACTCGATATTAATATCAAAACATTAATAGCATTTCAATGAGGTGGACACCTGGTTATATAAACCAGCAGAAATATATCGACCGAAGACATTTTATTATGTTGATTTAAACATACTTTTATTTGCATCTTTTATACAATTTGGGATTGGGCACAACTTATATAAAGCCTATTCCCAATTTTATCATGTTATAACAGAGGAGGTTAGGAAAGGCCGGATAGTGTTGAGTGGAAGTATTAACAGGTACGTAGTCAATAAAGGATTTAATTTGGTGTCAATGCTTATGTATCAACTTTGACCTAACAGTCAATATACAAGTCCCTTGATCAAATATTACCTTGCAGCAAGCCAATAGCATAGCGGTCAAACCAGACTTGATTACAGCCCTGACGCAGTATGACGTAACACAGTTGGACATTTCATATATTTGTTTTACCAGCCCTGTCAGCTATGTCCCACACAGACTTTCAAGTATCTCAGATCATACTATATTGTCGACTGATAGGACAAACTCTTTAACACAACTTTAGAAAATGGCCTTCGATCTAAGCAGACTGTGTTTAACCGGTAACATATTGTCAATAATTTTCCTGGAAACTAACATAGTTTTAAAGAAAGCTTTTAACGAACACTGATTACCATATTCATCTGTGTTCAAGCTGTAAATAAATCAACAGACTATATTGATTTTAAAATATCATGAATAAATCAGGAACAAAGTTACACTATACTTTATGATATATATCATAAATAAAATTCTCATTTTAAAAACAAATTAATAGACAGCATTAACACGTGAAAACATATCCTTTAACTTCACGTTAGAGATAACTTATTTTCTGAGTGCAAATGTGTTATTTTATTAATCAACCACGTCTCCTGAAATTAGAAAAATTGTTTTGAACAAATTGCAGATACTGTAGCATGGGTTTTGTTATTGTTTAATTGTTTACTTTATGTTGCACTGTATATATGTACAACTGATGAGACGAATAGCTTAAATCATAAATGAATAAACGGAATACGTACTAGATCAATGATCTGTCGCAGTGCTGTGTTTAAAGAAAGGGTGACATTTCCATCCCTGGAACACACAGGCAGCAGTCTCTTGTTGTAGTGTTGAAACAAATCCTCGTATAATGTTGTGGTGATGATGTGGGAGTGCGCCTGGCACGAATCTGAAACAAACCAGGCATAAGTTAAATATGAACTTCATCATTTATTAAAAATATCATTTCATTAAATATATGATATGCAACAGGAAAAAACCCAACAACACCAAACAAACAACCTTTTGTCCTGCAGCAACTGATCAGTAAAGGTAGAGAACCCTTTAGCTATAAGAATTTTGATAATAAACGTATGAGCCTCAGGCATTAAAAATACACAAATAATTCACACAAGAAATATTAAATTAAATTAAGTTCAAAATATTCCGTCACATCCTGAGAGCTATCATTTTATGTACTTTTAAAAGAATTGATAAACTTATTAATGTAGTCAGTGAAACAATCAACATTTGTCGTGTGTGTATGGAGATACATATCTGCTATAATTACAACTGTAAATTCGAAAAAGATTATAATGCAACTCGGGCCAAAATTGCAGTAAAAGGAATTAACAATTTGGTTGAAACAAGATGATAATGTAACCGTATGCTGTGTCTGATGATTATGTATTAATACAACATATTATATATCTCAGACGTTTTAAGAAAAATAGTGCAAGAATTCTTATCCAACAGAAAAGAAATGTAGAAGATATGGGCTTTAAAACCTGTTTACGAAGATAAACGATCGTCAATATGCCTTTAGCTTCTCAATTTAATGGGATTTATAGAAGTCCTAAACATGTTTCCATAATTTTCCATCCACCAAAAAGAAGCAGTTAGGAGGTAAAATGGTACCTTATATGAGCGATCTTATTTTAAAGGCTGGTATACTCCGAAGTGCTCGGTTGTGCAATCTGTGTTTTTGACTGGTAGCAAAGGCTATTATCATTGTCAAGCAGGATGTCATTATTAAACATCACTAGAAATACGAAGTTATCAATAACCCATTTTAAATTGATGTTGCGGCGCTAGAAGCCAAACAAAGTAAATATTTATTACTGTAATGTATGGTCATTTTGACCATTTAAGACTGATGAGTGATACTGGCGATCTAAAAATAAAAATACATTTACCTGTCTCTAGTGTTACTACATATGCAGTACAGCAGAAGGGGAGAAATGCCTATTAAACCCATTATAACGTTTCCCATTAACAATTTTGGCTACATCGGATTATTTATACTTAAACTATCATATAATGTAGCCCGTGCCAAAATGAATTCGAGCTAACATGTTTTGTTACCATTCTTCATCTTGTAATATCCGTTTTGACAAACGAAACACCATTTTCGAGAAGTGTGGTAAGATATGCATAGTCTATTTGCTGAATACAACTGAGAGTCCCTCATGTGTGACGTTTGTCTCTGTTTAGCAATAATAGGAGGTTTCTACCCACTAACTGACCTGACAGCGGTAGCCGGAGTGTTGACAACATACAGCTTATCGACAGTGTTAAGTCAAGTACATTCATACTCAAGTTCCTAACTATGAAATCAATACGTCTACGTTCTGTGTGTCAATCAAATATAATCTCTAAAAAAAACAGTACTCGTTTGTTATTCCAGTCATATGGGTATATATGAGGAGCGAGTTTGATTTGTATAGTAATGTACATGTACACAGAAGAAGTAGTGGGTAAATATCGTCATGCTTACAGCTTTATTTTAATATCAACATACAGAGTCTATAGTTAGAGTATACACATACAAAGATAAGATCAGTTCATATAGAGAAAATTAGAATACCACAAATAGCCTGCACTGTGTAAACATTAAACATGGGTTCTTCTTCATTTTCAGCACATTTTTGACAGAGTGTCTTTCTATAATTGTAACATTAAAAACAGATGTATTGTATACGTTATCTTAACAACAATCCCAATACACTATGATGTTTACATGTGACACTTGCTTTCCTTGTGCAGTATAGGATGGGCCTGCTTATAATTAAAGGGTTCCCAGGTTTTACCCTGCCTTGACGTGTACAGTCAATATGTTCATCACGACAACACTTTTACTCTCTACTACATCAAACTAACTACATAAATAGTCCGAATATTTACAGCGGTACGAGTAATACATCTACATGTAATGGTCACTGACTGAGTCTGAAACTAATTTTAATATTCCGTTGTCTATCTGGTTGTCCTTATGAAAACTACTTTGCTATTGGACCATAACAACAATGCTTACCATATAATCTAAATAATATAACGTAGCCGAAAATCAGCGGTAGGAACGTTTTATAGAAATCTAGGAACCTATAGAGTTAATTACAATTTAGTTTTACATGTATTGTTCTGCTTTTCATACAAGCATACATCAAACATTAATGCTAGTATAAAAGTAAAATATCTTCTCCGAATTTTCATTTGCTGCCGGAACTTGGAAATGAAAACGGCTTCGTGTATTTTTTTAAAATTACATTATAAAAAGCCTGTCGTATTAATTTTCCACTTGTTTACACATGCATTTCAGGTTTATTGCACTCGCAAGTTTGAAGCCTTAACATTCTGACCTACAGTAGTGCTGATGATTTTGATTATCATTTTAAATCCTGTTTTAGAAGGACGAAGTGCCGGCGAATGAGGAAATATTACCTCCGTGACAAGGGTAGTGTTTCCGTGTGAAGTGATGCGGACACTAACCACAGTATTGTATGCAATGCTAGTGTGCAGGTATTTCTTAACTGAAAGCTTCCTATCTATAATTGTGCTCAACGAACCCGATGAAGCTTTTTCTGTGAAATGAAAACCTGTTTCAGGGTAGTTGTGGATCATGTCAGTGTGGCATTTCGTGGGTTTGGCGACAAGCCATCTTGTACATCACAAGTTATAAGTAAATAAAGCGAGCTGAGTTATTCCTGTTACGTCGTTATTTTATCGCTCGAATACTTTCTTATCCGAATAATCCTTTCGCTGATTTGTCAGCAACGATTGATAATAATATCAACAATCTTGTTATTATATTATATCAATAAATTGTTGATTCTCAATTATTTGTCTTTACTTTGGCATTTTTTTTATTACGAACACCATCAAAGAATGTATTTAAATTTTGTCTTAAAACATACAAGAAAGGTGAAAAGTGAAGTAATATATCAAAGGACATTTTTTTCGGTTAATATAACTAAAAAGTATGTCAGAACTGATGAACCACTGAATGTTATAAACCATAATACCAGCAAACCACGGACTTAGATAATCTAATTCCGTGATCAAACAAAATGTTTAAATATCTGATTTAAAATAATACAAATCGTTCCAGGTTTAGTTTGTACCAAATCTTTAAAGCTTCATTTAGTGGAATCAATATTACCTTTCGTACAATTCAAGCGACTCATTCGATTGATAGAAAAGGGGTAAGATGGAGTAACGGATTTATATATTGACGGTACTACGTCGAGCTAAGGTAACACTGTGAAACCCTGAATTTGAATCAGACCCGTCCTGTACCATATACAGGTATCATGTGTCGCTTGTTAGCTTATAGTCCATCGGTATAGAATTTTGATGTGTATCAAAACTTAATGCGATTACTTTATTTTATCACTACCTACTGTATATTGTACAATACATCATATAAATCTGTATAAAATCGGTATAAACTGTAAGTCTTTATTATGTACTCACGATAATCTATATACATGTTTATGAAATCATTATGTAATGTATGTCTTTACAATGTCAATGTATACTGTATATATTTATAATATAAGTCTTGATGGTATATCTTTTTAATATCATAATGAAATGTATATGTTTATAACAACAACACATACTGCATATGTTTATAACAACAACACATACTGCATATATTTATGATATAAACTCATACTGTATATGTCTATACTATCAGTAAATACTGAATACGTCTATACTATCAGTAAATACTGTATATGTCTATGCTATCAGTAAATACTGTATATGTCTATACTATCAGTATATATAGTATATGTCTATACTATCAGTATATACTGTATATGTCTATACTATCAGTATATACTGAATACGTCTATACTATCAGTAAATACTGTATATGTCTATACTATCAGTAAATACTGTATATGTCTATACTATCAGCACAAACTGTATATATTTATGATATCATCACTGCTTTTATCTGTTTTGAATATATATCAAGAAGAAACGCGAGTCAATAAAGATTACAAATACCACCAACCAGCGAGAATCCTGTTGGAATGACTTAACTTAGTAATTTCATTCACGTTATTAACTGGAATAAACAAGAAACCAAACAGAATTATAAAATATTTTTTTTCTAGTTCAAAAGCAGACAGACATACATCTAGAAGTTGTTTAACATTTTCCGATTACATGTATAATATTTCTATAAGCGAACGATCATATCCGGGAAGTATGCTTCTTTTAAAATGCAGTTAAACTATTCATATAGTTAAACTATTCATATAGTTAAACTATTCATACAGCAGAAGGTTAGCGTGATATCACCGTCGCATTTTATATATTCACTTGGTTAGCGAGTTTACAGATTGTCATATGATGTCATTTATCGATAAAATGTTGATTGATCAATAATATATAGGCAATATTATTGAGCATGTACTCTTCTGAGGTTTAAATCACGTTCAAATCTCGTTTAGATCTAGCGTAATAGGTTTTCATTCATTTCAACAAATTATGATAAATTTCAAAAACATTCATGCATCTGCAAAATGTGTCAGAAAACTAGATGCCTACATTTAAAGAACATTTGTTTTAAAAAAGTTGACCAATTCAGCAGCCATTTGAAAATGTATTTTATACACAAAACTGATTATTTTTGAATTAGATAAAAGTGTCATTTTATCGCCATTTTAAATTGCAGCAAGTTGATTTTTTGCTTTGCACGTTTTACTGTTCATTAATATGAAAATAATATCTAACAAAGTGATAAATTAAAAAAGTATTTAGTCTTACTAAGGCTTTTTTAATTTTGGATCCCCCAAAAGGTGAAAATAACACAAAATACAACATGGCAAACATTTTATTGTCTGTTTCAGGAAGAGAAACACATTTTCTCTGAAAAAACATTGATTGCAGAACTTT